AAAAATAATTTATAGATTTGTAGGTAAGTGGCTTATCAACAAGAAAAAGGCAAAAATAAAAGCAGGAGTCTGTCTAACAGCAGCGTCTCTTTCGCAGGTATCACGTCAGTCTCTCCTCCGATTTGGAATGGAGACACGATAAATACCACGACATGGATGAGGTTCAACGAGATCCTCGGGCAGGTTCTGAATCCATCGCTGAAGAAGCACAAGTTGATCCACGGAAATACTCACAAAGCAGCTCGGAGAGATTCTTGGAGCTGTCTCACTCATCCATGGACCGAGTATTTGATGCCGATTGTGGGAAATCGTGTGATTACAAAGTGGGGTCACCTTCCTACTTGGACAAATTGCTGTGGAGAGACAATAAACCCCATCATTACTCAGAGCCTAAGCTGATTTTAGATTTATCCCACTGGAAAAGAGCAGCCATAGCACCCGCAGCTGAGCTATCGCTGGAAGAAGAACCATCCAACCTCTTTCTGGAGATAGCTCAGTGGGTGAAGAGCACACAAGTGGGTCTGGAATGTCCTAGTTCTCTTCCAGAAATTCAGGAGCAGGGCTTGCCATCATCTCCTCATCATCTCCACCAAGAACCCACGGAGGTGAATAGTGAAACAGACCCTGAGTTTGACTTGGACGTCTTCATCTCCAGGGCACTGAAACTTTGCACAAAACCCGAGGATCTTCCAGACAACAAACTCAATGACATCAACGGGGCCTGCATATCTGAGCACCCCGGTGAGATTGTACAAACAGAGGTGTACCAGAAAGAGCGATGGTGAGGAACTCAACACCTGGGAAACCCCGTTGTATCTCCCTGTTCCTCTCTGATGATGTGGTCATTGCATGGGGCTGAGTGGCTTCCATCTGTCATTGAGCATCTGGGTTTTTTTAAGCTCTACCGAATGCCTTTTTTGGAAGAGGTGAGCACAAACCACATGCCCCTTTTGATGCCTTAAAAATACCTTTAAGGGAATCAAGAGGTGTGAATGGAATGAAATCCCAAGTTTCTTACACTGCCTTAACACTCTTGCCTTGCAATCTCTGGGACCTCTTTTGAAACTGAAATGTATGAGGAAATTAAAAAAAAAATGATGGTACATGAGAAGTTTACAAACAGAAGTCAAATCAAACTTCTTTTCCTTTCTTTTTCTATAGCATCTTAAAATGATGAGGACAAAAATCAACGTTTTCATGATGGTCAAATCCCCTCTTGGTTGGACGGGTTCCTAAAACTTTGAGCTCCTCTGAGATACCCGTGTGAGTAGAGGTGGTATGGAGAGAAGCCATGCCAGGCAGTGTCCATGGTCAACCATCAGTCAGCAGAGAATGGAACTAGAGGTAGAGTTTGGTCATCAGACAGAAAATAATTCTTCAAGAATGTTAATAGGGAAATAATTTGACCTATAAAATATGGGCCACTTGGGATTTTGTTTTCTTTTTTCCCAATTGGAAGACAAAATGTTTGTTAAGCGCGTTCTTCTCGTTTGATTTCTCGCACATAAGTTCTCCCTTCTGTTGTACGGGGTAGATCTGAGCTCTCCAAGTACTTCCGAGACCCCATACGATGTCACAACCTGGTGCTGTGAGTCCTGTCTCGGGCAGCTTCCCAGTACACCACCAAATTCTGGTGGGAAGGGCTGGACAGGAGTGGAGAACTAGAAACAGGGTGTCTCACGGTACGATGCTGCCTGGCACCACCAGCTATGTAGACTCAGCAAGGGCACCCACCTTTGGAATGAAAATACGATGATTTTACCTTCTAGCAAAGATGTTGTGAAGAAAACAACAATTCCTGTGGCATTTCTAACTGGCCACTTTGCTTCCAGCTTCTTTAGAAGATGCTGGTGTCAACAGGCAACCGAGCGCAGTTTGTAAATAGACACAAACTCAACTTCTGTTTTCATCCACACTTCTGAGCACCTTAATAATTAATCAACTAACAAGAGTTTGTATATGGAGGAAATGTTCTTTACTTATATTTAATCAAACTCAGCAATTTTAGGTTTTTTAATGGAAAACCTGTAAATAGTGACGTAAGAGCCAATCTCTGCTTCGTTGCCATCGTGTGCTCTCCAGCACAGCGGCGCTACTTTCCTTTGTAAAAGAGAAACTACTCCACTTAGTAGCTCCAAGGTCCATATTTAACTACTGTTCCTCTAAGAATTATCTCTACCCTTTTAACAAGCAATCTACTAAATGTTCTGAGATGTGAAGAAAACTCACGTGAGACTCGGATGGTGACTAACAGCAGCTTTTAACTGTATGAACCCTGGTTTCTCGTCTTGGTGGGATCAGGTGTAGGTTTATAGCTGTAGGAGAGCTTGTGCAAGGCATTGACAAGCCCAAGAACTTGTTCTTCTTGGGAAGATCTCTCCTTAGGCCAATTGAAATGCCCTTACTCCAGCTGATGAGCAGCGTCGGCGTGAAGGCTGCCGGCTGCGTGGGTGGGATTGGGTGGAAGTCCTGGACCAGGGGTGAAGAAGGCATCTAGAAGGCAAAGCCATTGGAGAAGGCAACTGGAAAACAAAGTCATTGGGCTTTGGTCTTTGCTTTGAGTGGTTGGACATCCCCCGTGGTGGTTTAGAAAGGGGAAACAAGGGAGAACCAGAGGGTTGGTTTCCAGTGTGTTGCAGATTATTGATATACCTCAACTAAAGCTCAGCACTTTTCCTCATGGTGGAAGAAATTCAGATGCTGAAGAAGCTCTCCAGCCTCAGCAGCCCACAACTCACCACCCATGGTCCTGTTCAGCTTTGCTGTGGTCTGGTAGTGGCCAGCAAAGGCTGGGAACAGGATTGTGTGTGCCCAGAGAGGAGGAGGCAGCAGTGGTTCCCTGGTGCCACCCAGAAGACGAGCAGATATCACCCAACCTCTGATAGGAGATGTACAAATGCTGCAGCCAGAGGCATCAACTGAAAATTAGATGTTTGGGAGCCAACAAAATTGAAACCTGAAGGATGAAGATCAGCAATGTGAGAGCTGACTTTTAAAACTCTCTTCTGACAGATCCAGCAACTATTTGCTACTGTTGGGTTAATCATGGAGACGCGCTGACGCGTGAAATCAGCAGCCATCAAACCACGCCAGCGTTTTTCTCGGTGGACATCAGTCACCACGTCCTCTGGAACCAGAAGCCATTTTCCATAGGTTGTTGCATTCAGCTTGAACGTCTTCACCAGAAGCTTACGGGACTATTTATTATGACCATGAAAGTATCAAGTTTTGCTTTGGAATTTTGTCCTAAGGAGGAGTGAGAGTTTGGAGTTCAAATCGAATATTAAACTTCACAAGAAGCTTGTTGACGCCGCTCTGGATTTTCCATCTCGGTTCGTGAGCTGTTATTTAACGTTGTTCCCAAAATGTGGGCGTCACATGGTGGGAAAAGTGGGGAGGTGGAACTAAAGGGGTGGCTTTAATTTGTTACCTGAGTCTGCTCAGCCGATCACAAGCCAGATTTATTTCTCATCTACAACAATAAAAATTAAGGCTTGAGCCTTCCTTGCGTGGTAGCGCGTAATTATTTTGCTCATTATGAGACTTGGAATGTTTATTCCAGTATTAGTGTCCGGTTTTCTTCTGCAAATGATCAATGATATCGAAATTAGCACATGGATCACGTGAATATTTGGATTCTGAAGCTATTTGGTGTTGGGTGGCTTTTCAGCCACCTGTGATTTGGCTGGTGCAGTCCATCTAAGTGCTCAGGGTTATGGGGAAGGGAGGTTCTCCTCCCCCTCTACTCTGCCCTGGTGAGGCCACATCTAGAATATTGTGTCCAGTTCTGGGCCCCACAGTTCAGGAAGGACAGGGAACTGCTGGAGAGAGTCCAGCACGGAGCCACCAAGATGATGAAGGGAGTGGAGCATCTCCCTGCTGAGGAAAGGCTGGGGGAGCTGGGGCTCTTTAGCTTGGAGAAGAGGAGACTGAGGGGTGACCTCATTAATGGTTATAAATATGTAAAGGGTGAATGTCAGGAGGATGGAGCCAGGCTCTTCTCAGTGATGCCCAATGGTAGGACAAGGGGCAACGGGTGTGAGCTGGAACACAGGAGGTTCTGCTTCAACTTGAGAAGAAACTTCTTTCCAGTGAGGGTGCCAGAGCCCTGGGACAGGCTGCCCAGGGAGGGGGTGGAGTCTCCTTCTCTGGAGACATTCAAGACCCACCTGGACGCCTTCCTGTGTGATCTCATTGAGGTTCCTGCTCTGGCAGGGGGGTTGGACTGGATGATCTTTCGAGGTCCCTTCTAATCCCTGACATTCTGTGATTCTGTGATTCTGTAATTTAAACCTGGTCATCAACATGGTGACTTCTACAAACTGCTTCTTCTTCCAGCTGTTTGAAGAATCATTCCAGGGCAAGGTTCACCATCAGGTATTTCAATAAATTTGCAGATGTTACTTATTTGCTAAAGAGGAAAAAAAAAAAGGGAGCGTTGCCATCGTTAATAATATAGATGGTGTGTTGGGCCACCAAGGCCACGTGGCGTGGGATGGGTGGATGCCTTGGGTTTAGAGATGTGCTGAGTGGGAGGGACAGAGGGTGTTTGTTGTGATCTCTGAAGCTCAGGAGTGAGTGACATGGTCCTGTGTGGTGACCTGGTGAGGCACTGGGATGACAACGCAGCGGACTTTGCTGACAGAAGCAAGATGTCTCCAAGTTGAGGAGGACCTCAAGTTTAAAGGCTGATGTTTAAGCCAGTGATCAGGTACGTACGTACCCTTGTGAGTCCCAACCATTATGACCAACCTTCCACATGGTCTTATTTGAAGAAGGAGGAGCATCCCACCACTCTTGAGACTGTGGGAGCTGCTCATGGTGATGTCCATGCAAGGGTCTGTCTTTGCACTACGGCCACCCACTGTCCATGAGTTGGGGACTCCATATCAGGGAGATGATGGTGCAGCTGCCTGCTCAGCTGCTCTTAAAAACACCTTTAAATGGGGAAATGATGCCTCCGATGGTTCAGTTGGTGGCCTGGTGATTGTTCTTCCTCAGTCAAAAATACGTGACTTATTTTTATTACAGTTTATTTTTAATTGTGTTGGGATTCAGGAGATGTCACACCAGCCCAGAGCTGCATCAACTGGATCTTCTGAGCTCTACCATGAAAGTCATGAAAAAAATCACCTTAAATATGGTTTTAGGGACATCCTGGGAAGTGTTTCCTCTGCAAATCACACCTGGATCCTGGAGTAAAACCACAACATCGTGTCAATGATCATTTCTGTCCTTTTTAACCCAAAAAAACATGTATTTTGAGCCATTTCATGCCACCCTCTTAACATTTTGGAGAGCTTGTGGTGAGAACATTGTACAGTGTGGCATTTCAGATCTGAAATGTTCTTTTTTTCTAGATATATATATATTGATTGTAAGAGGAATTGAAGAGGACAGATATCCCACATGGTGTTTGCTCGTGAATAGTTGTATTTGATGTTTTCAAAAGTAAGTTTGATTCTGAAGTTGTACAATATTTGGGTGAATGTCGTCCTCTCAAAGAGCATCTTCACTTTCCGAGACCACGCTCACCACGGTATTTTGAACTGCCATCTGCCCGCTGTCAGAGCTGGTTTCTAACAATCTCGTTGCTAAATTCAAAGAGTAGGAATTTATTTAACAAAAAAAGGAGAATCTGTCCTTAAAAAGATGATCTTTTCTCCCAGGGTTTTATTTCGTTGGTTCTTGGGTTGCGGCAGAACAGGTTGCAACAAAAGGATCTCGAAAGCGTCGCTTTGACTAACGTTGTGGTGAACTTCAGCAGGTGTTTCAGGAAGTCTGT